GCTATCACAGCTAATCCGTAGCTAAACTGGATCTGAAAAACTATACCCTTGTATCTACTAGAAGTTTTTATAGGAATATCTTTTGCAATTCTTTATTGCTTTCGAATCCACCAAATTTTTATGATGATCAAAATTCACACACAAAATACGCGCCAGATAACATGAAGACGTCATGAGTTTAACTTAAATATGGAAACGGTAGGAGTAAAATAAACAATCGGATCTGTGTGCGCATTTCGATGATTTCGATTTCAGATAGGGTTTGACTTATCTACGTACTCAGGAAATTTATATCACAATGAACTATGCGAACACCACTCATACGATCCAATGTAAATCAGGTAAATGGTATAGATAAATTTGAAGAAACTTTACTGTTGCTGATGCAGTCGGTGAAAAAATAGGCATGGATTCAAAATTGTTGTAATCTCATTTTCTTAGGGAATATTTTGCATAGGGAATTATTATGCATACAGCATAGAGCTCCAATTAAAGCGCATTGATAAATTTAAGTGCATAAGTAGGCAAGCGCTAAAATTAATCGCTTCGTGTCATTCGCTGACGTAACAAGAAAATTAGCAATAACAAAGTTTTAATTGAGCCATCAAAGTAACCCATATATCTAGTTTTACGACCCATTAAATTTAATCACCTTGATTAATGATTTAACAGCTAATTATCCAGTAGTTTAACTGTTTTATTAGGCATAAATCCGCATTTTTCCAAACATTTCTTTCGAGAAAAATAACCACGTTATTTCTTGTGGAGACGCTTGTTCTCATTCATTAATTTCGAAACTAAAACGAAAAAGAAAAAAAAGAAACGAATCCAAGCAAGCACTTGGCCATTAATCCGAAACTTTTCCGAAACCATACTTCATGCATCGCGTCCGTCGTACAATATTATTTCGTTGGTAGAAGTGAATCATGGCTGCCAACGTCCATGGGCCCCTTGCGCCCCCTTCTGGGAGAACATCTCCTCGCAGCGGGAGCCGCGTCTGGACAATGCGTTCTCTCAAAGAACTCATATCGGTGTTTTGGCAGCGGCGCGTCCACAGAAGGACTTTGGGGGATTGGTCGAGTTTAATTGTCCATTATCCTTTTTGCGCAAATTTTTGTTTGAAGCAACGAGCGAAGTAACGATGCAGAAGCAAGAAGATTCCTCGAAATTCGAAATTGAACAAGTTGCAACGTGGCCGAAAATGTACTGTACGTAGAATAATGTTTTTGATTTTTTTTGTTGAGTTCCGACGCTGTTTTATTCGCTCTGTTGGCAGACAATAAAGATGAAGAACCTAATTTTCGGCTGAAATATCTCCAATTTATTATAGACTTCCCAATTTACGTCGTTTTGTTTGTTGGTTTATTTATACTTTTTGTGCAAGGGCAATTTGAATTTGTGAAAAATTGGTTTAGTAAATGTTTTACTTTCATTGAAAGAACTAAAAGCGAAAGGGAATATAAAGATAAAAGTACCTGCACCTGTACCACACCAGTACTTCTATTTTTCCATAACATGGCACTTTCCTTCTATAATAGAAATTAATTATTCCTAGAACTTTTTTCACACCAGTAGTTCTATTTTTTCCATAACACTATTCTTCCAGAACTTTTTCATCTAATACATTTAAATATAAATTTAAAATTGGGAGGGCAATATTATCTCCTGTAGACGCCGCAACATCTAGACTGGCCTAAAATAAACCTTGTATGCAGTAACATCTCCGTATAACATAAAATATATGCAATCCCGGACCTTAGACAAATAAATATACGGACCATATCGTATTTTATTATAATCATACTGAATACAGGTAAAGATTTTTTTGTCCGATAGCTACGAGATAGCGTGTTGGCGCATGTCGTAACGACTATACGTCGGACGCCAGGCGACATTCCAAAACCAAAAAATTTTTCTTTCCTTCTTTCGTTCTTCCTTTCTGTCGTTCCATCTTTCTTTCTTTTTCGTGGCGCAGGATAACCCGCGAGACAACTTTCATAAGTTTAAATTATGTTCGACTCGCGATGAAGCGCTGTTAATAATTTTATACTGTTTTTTTCATTCACTCTCGTGTATTTGTCATTCATGTTTGGGACTCGCTTAGCTGTATTATCAGATCTAGTCGATTCTACAATCGCTGTGTTGATTTGACTTAACGAGATGGAAATATGACTGTTATTTATACCAATATTAATCGTTAAGGATAATTTACTTTGCATAATATGAGGAAGCAATCAATACGAAAAATCTGATATGTTATTCATAATCTATAGAATTTATTTTAATACTGAAAAAATTAATATTTGATATCCTGCTCTGTTTCCATTTCAATCAATCTACTTCTTTCGGTGTCTTCAGACATGCCATACAACTGTATATGGTTCCTTTAGCAGGATCGTTTAATTAAATTCAATTACCGGACCGATTACGAGGCATCTTTAACCGGCTAGTAACTAACAATGAGTTGCGTTTATTTTAATCAATCTTTAGTTTAAGTCTCATTAAAATTCTAAAGATCAGATACGAGCGAATCCTGCTTGTTATCGAATCGAGTCCGAATTGTGATCCGTAATGTAACTAATGATGATTACTAGGATTACATTGCAAAAAAAATGTACTAGAATATTGTGGTGGCACAAAGAAAGGTCCTATAGTAAAATTGGTAAATTGTCCCAGTCAGTAAAATTGATGAAAACATAATAAACATAAACATTTTTGGGCATAATAGGTTCTCTTCGGCCCTTGTAATTTGTTAATAATATTAATAATAATAATATAAATTTGAGTTGATAGAAATTGGCTCATAAAGAGTTAAGTATACAAACAACATTTGCAAATTTTTTTTCTTTGCATTTTCATTGTCTGATTAAACGTTGTGCGAGTACAACAGCCCTAAGGTGAATGATATATGGTCCAAAATTATAAAAAATGGTAGTTGTTAACTGATGAAGATATTCTAATTAGACGGCTGTACAAAAACCAGCGGCGTCCAAGTTAAAGTATTCTATCAATTTGAATACCTAAGTATAGTAATTTTTATACATAATTTAATCAATATACTTACTATTATTTTCATAAAGGTAACTTATTCCATCGGGCTCTGTCATTTAATAAACGATTATTTCTTTGAAGGAAGGTATGAACATTTCCTGCGAATCTCCTCCAATGATTAAAAGTAAAAGCAGGGAGTCCCCTTTTTATTACGCACAACGGTTATCGCTTATGCAGGAGGCCTCCCACGCACTTTGTACGTCGCACGATAAAGAAGAAAAGTTGTAATTAATTGCTTGGTATAGTGTGAGAAGGACGCACCTGTATACAATGTGTTCTTTTTTTAGGATCTACACCTTTACGTACCGGGGAAAGGAATAAGAAGTAACGAAAACATTCGTATAGTGTTTTGGTTACGTCAAGAGAAATGTGCATGTGCAAGAACGCATGCGATAAAAAAATAAGCGTCCGATAACCGATAAGGCATTCGACTCTGAGTAGAAATTAATGAATATACAACTACAACGGGTTGTAAAAGTGCCATTTATCAACAGGTCGAAGTGCCACTAGTATTTACATATTTCACGAATTTTATTGGATCTGTAGATTTATTATTTAGTGTGGTTCAAGACAGGTCTTTGTTTATTTTTGTTGTTGTTTGAATCTATTTTTAGACAAAATTAACGAAAAAAACTACAAACATATTTTAATATTTTAATAAATTTCATATAGATTATACAGAGATCCCTGATCGAACAGTATTTACAAATTAAAATTCTTTTCATTTTATACACATCTTTCATTAACCTAATACTAATTTGCAAATATTTTATACAAATTTACAAATATTTAGCGTATCGTTCGTTTATTATAATTTATATAATTTATATGAGACAACGAATTAAATTAAATTAATCGGACGAAACACAAGGAATTCGATGAGACATTCATTTATTTACTTATAACAAGAAAAGTTGACTTTTTTGAAAGGCCTTTTTGAATTCAAAATTGCACGCAATTTAATAAATATATTACAAAAGTTGTTCGTACATTCAAAGGAATTACTGAGATTCTAGTATTAATAATGCATGCTAACATGCTACATAATTTATTTAGGTATCAATAAAAACCGTCTGAAATCGCGAAATAGGTTATTGCATAAATTAAAATTATGAATATATAATTAATATGATTGGAAAACGGCAAATTTCTTGAACGTAAATCACTTTTGATAATCCTACGCATTGTCAAATATCTATAAAATATCACCATGTTAAGACAAAGAACGTCAAATAAAACGTACTCTCCTAGTAAATCACTTTAAAATTAAAAATATAGAGAGAAAGGAAAGCATTATTCATAAAATATTAGGCAAGTAAAAAAGTTAATTTACAGTAGGCCAACAGCTAATGTCACAATAAACAAGTAACGGACCGTTAAGTAGCTCGTAAATCACATAATTATAATTGACAACTGTGTTAGGAATAGTAAAAACGATTGAGCCGGAGGATAGTGTAAAATAGGAGATTTAAAAAGGTGTTTGTTGAAATGATTGTTTTAATTTACGAGGAATTATAAATTCAATAAAAAAATCAAATGGAGGTTCCATCATTCGTTCTAAATAAGTAGTAAGAATTTCTGAGAAATATGTATAATTTTTTATAATTTTAGTCACTCAGTAATTCCTTATTAATTAAACTCATGTTTTAAACTTAGTATTATACTAAGCTCCATAAAGTTCCCGTCACTCTTATTCATCTACTTTACATTTTCAATTATTCTTGATTTTTGAAAAAAAACATAACCTATAGACTGATAGAAATAGTTGAAGATGATACAGAGTGTTGCGCATGTAGTAACCATACTTCGATCACGTCTAGAGATATCCCTCTCACACAGTAATTATCCTTAAGGCATCCGATTTGGAAATGGATGTTTATGATATTCAAAGTAGGTGAATAAAATAGAGTTCGACGGTTCTTTACGGGGCAAATAAAGCCTCATTCTCTCCGCGAACGTGCTGGACATTTACGAAACCGTTAGTAGGCCGTCGCCGCGCCGGTGTGATGCAGGTTCCCGAAATGCCCCAGGCCGGCGAGTGGATCCGGCGCCGCCGGCGTCGGCTGGCACACGTACCAATCGCTGAGGGACGTCGTGCCGGGGACTTGGGGCGGCGCCTGGTGGACGTGCGGCGATGCCGCCACGGAGATGCTGCCCGCCGACGAGGAATTCGACTCTTCGCCGTCGCTCTCGTAGTGGTGCGGCGACCGGCCGGAGCAGCCGTGCACCTTCATGTGCTTCCTTAACGACGAGGGGTGCGTGTAGGATTTATCACAGCCCGCTATGCGGCAGTTGTATGGCTTGTCGGAGGTGTGCACGTGCGAGTGCTTCTTCCTGTCCGAGGAATTGGCGAAGCGCCTATCACAACCTTCGAATTCGCATTTGAATGGTTTTTCACCTAAAACAAATACAAATTATTACTTTCGATATAGGGATAAGAATACTACAGTATAGTTTCAAAATAACTGACCATGACTAAGTCGAAAACAACTAAAAAGTTGCGGCACATGCTAATAGTAGCTAGAATAATGTAGAAAATTCGGTCTCGAATTCGGTATCGAGGTTTTTACCGCTTCATTAAAAATTGACAAGTTTCACTTTAAAGTGCGAATATTTATACTATTTCTAGCCATAATTCGACATGGCATAAAAAACGCCTAGCGCCGACTTCAAAGGTACCGGTGCACATGGATGTACCGTTTTTAGTATCAAAATTAAATAGATTAAAATATTAATTGGGTAATATTTAATGTACTCACTTTGTCAGTGAAATTTTATGTCAAATAAATTTTATAAGTTAAAATTAATAATTTTAAAAACAAGTAAAGTTTAACCAAGGCTTTGAGAAATCGCGAAAAAATTTCAGACCGCGCGAGCCACTGATCTAAGACAAACAAACTGAAGAGCGAGATTAATTAGATGAATTTTTGGTGATTTACGACCGCGAGCCAGCTGCCGGTCCGAAATCGCGTGATCGCACAGTTGTAGAATTAATATCAACTATTGGTGAGTTGATGTTTAAAACTTAAGTGAGCCACATCAGCGCGGCTCAGCGACTATACCGGGGCGATTCGCGCTTATTGGCAATGCGAGAGTATGGGTTTCTTAGCATTCTCGGCGCTTATAACGCGATTTATTTCGCGTCCCCGGTACAACGGTCCAAATCGAATTAAGACTAGAATCACTATACGCGAGTAAATTTATATTACTATCTCTATCTTCTAATAATTAATCAGTCGGTATTATTAACGTTATTAATATTTAACTAATACCATGAGACCTACAAAATTATTCAATATTAATTAACATTAAGAAAAGAGAAATAAAGACATTTTATTTGAATTAAATAATAATTTATGAGTCCTAATTAATGGTCATTTCGCGCCACTGGTATTTTACCTCTCGCACTCCTCGAACCCGCAGCGATCCACAAGTTGTAAAATTAGTCATGGTCAGTTATTAAGATCCCAACGTATAGTAGCTATAAGTTCATTGTTATATCAAACCAAAATATTTTTACGAAGCAAGTAGGTATACCAATCTCTCTTTAATTAAGGGAAATATAAAAAACGTGCTGCGTGTACTGAAAGTTATAAAATAGGCAAGCTTATTAGAAACCTATAAATGTAGCTTATTAAATTAATTATGCCGACACTTCGTTTTATTCTGTGCTAATTATTTTATTATGAAAATTACTAAATATGAAATCCAATTAGCGTTCACTTACATACGTGTAGGTAAATACGATTTTGGTTAATTAACGGATGTTGTAAATCTTGGGAAAATCCATTTCCCCGGCGATAAAAATCGTCGGAAAGAAGAAAAAATGTACGCAAGGCGATCAATCAAGTTGCGTCGACGATCGAAGGACAAAACATTTTCGAAAATTTGAGCATTTAGAGAGGCGGAAAAAATCTTGGTGCGCTGGAACTCGATAGCACAACAATAATCGTGACAAATGACCGTGGAAGGTCTCTTTTTATCGACGAATAATAAACCGGGGGGCGCACGTTTAAATTGATGATCGCTTATTATTTATTTTTTATTGTTAAGGGCACAATCGAACGCTCACTTCGATCGCAAAAGGTACTTTAATGCAAAAAAAATGGGCAGAGGATAGCACGGATAATTTGAATTACAAAATAATATTTCTCGTAAATCGTCCTTGATATATCTATCAATTTTTAAATGTGTTTTTCTTTGTAAATCTCCACATATCTAGTCTCTAAATATCTACGCTTTTAGTACGTAGGTACAAAACATTGTTCCAAATCATCAAATTAAACCTTTCGAATGTTACCCGCCCCATTTATTCCGCAGCCCTGCTTACAAATTCGAATAGAATTCAATTTTTAACCAAATTAGGTACTTGCAACCCATTCAACGATTCAACCCACCTTTTTCCACGCACTCCGCCGCCATATTACGTTATTCACGAAACATGGCGCATTATAACACAGCTGTTACTGTTACTCGACCAAACGCACCCTGTTTGCGCCCTTTCATGCAGCGCGGGACTAAAGCGATTAAGTTTTTTCCAACAAAACTTAATCTGCCCTCGTAAACTTCTGCTACAATGATGATACGTCTAATCTACGATTTGACAATCGACTGTAGACAATTGACAGTATCATCCCTTTTTTATACGATAGTTTTTTTCTGGCGGGGTAAAGCGGATATGGTCGGGATGAGGAGACGAATCAAGACACTGTTTTGTGCGCCGATAAAAAGGGCCTTTTGTAGTCGTTGAATGGTTGTTGTAGAAAAGATATAGAGGGCGGGGAAGCGAAACCGCATATTTTTTTTCGAAACGAATATATCGAATTACCGGGTCACCTTGGTCTATTTAATTCTTCGACCCTATTGCCGTGTTCATGTATCGTACATACATCGTTTGGTTGCTTGGATCCTTTTTGATGCACAAAGGAGCAATCTTGGTTTGTATCGCCAGCTATTAAATGAAACCGTTATCACCCACATATTTAAATTTGTTAATTTGAAAAGTTTGTACCCAAACTTGCCATTTTGGTGCAAACTTGGAATGTAGATACCTACTACCTAATTCTGATAGATAAATTACATTTCAAACTAAATTGTGATTAACGACTCGAAGGAACCATTTCAATTTTGGTGCACAACATTTTTAGAATACCTAGACAAACCGTTGGAAATATTTTATGTAGGTATATGAGATATACATATAATATAAAAGAGCTTATTGATGGTTCTTAAAGGAGTGTTGCGAATTATTAATGGTTCCGAGAATGACTAAGAGGAATTTGGGTAACAACTAAATCGTGTGCCGGGTCTGTAGCCATTACAAATCAATTCCGAGAAGGGTTCATTCCCGCATTGTTGTAATATTAACTATAAATCGCTTATCGTAATTAGATTTTTCATGCCGTGTTCGTCTCGATTCGACCCGTCGAATTTATCTAGTCTATAAATGTGATTGATTACAACTGGACTCATTATTAGGGGCGGTTTCATTTAATCAACTGTCGAATAGAGGACTGTCTCTTTGGTTGTGCTGGGATAGGTAGATAGTAGATATAACATTGATATATTGAAACATTAGTATAATTGTGCATGACACAATAAATAAAAAAAATATTATTTGGGTAAATTGCATAGTTAGTATTTGCATATACATAGGTAGGTATAGGTTGTTAATGTAAAGAATGATATTGTGGGATTGCAACTTTCACTCTAAGCACTGTTATTTTAATAATCTTTATTATTTGTTCAACTTACATCACTTACCCATATAGTTAGATATTGCGTTTGTAAGAGCTTCTGGGAGTTCAGAAGAAAACTCTCAAAAATATTTTTAAGCTAATAAAAAATCTCATTTGGATCTTCTCAAAAATTTACGACTACGTCGAGAAAGCCGGCCGGTTTGCGAACGTTCGAGTAAAAGACAGACCGCAACGATCGTTTATCAAATTTCGTCCGCTCGGTCGACTTTCGGTTGTCCAAAATTCCCGAATAATCGAATAATGGAGGTTTGCGGTCAACAAAAAAAATATCGCAGAAGGAAAATTTACTATGCATTTTTCGACGAAACCGAAAGGAGGAGGATTCGACGTGCGAAAAATTTTTCAATCCTCCGAGAAATATGTGTGTTACCTGCCCAAATTTAATATTTTCAATTTTTTATTGTAGATCAAATTTTTGACACTCCACCATCTTATTGTAACAACATCTGTTTTTGATTATGTACCAAATTTAGAGGATCCTTTCAATGATAGATTTACAAAATTCTTAAAAAATCTGGTTGGCAAGGTGTTAAATATTGAACGATGAATCACTTCCTAGCGGGCGTGAATTTTTTTAGGTCTATTTTTAATCCGAACGAGTTTCGGAACTATTTTGAAGGAAAACATCTGAAAGGATCGAGGAGAGTGATATAGTGTTGTTTGACTTGGGATAATCTGTTTTTTGTCCTCGACGGTTGATAGAATGGGATCCGATTCGAATAAACGGCTCCATTGAGCTAATAAAGATATATTTTCGACTTTGTAGATGATGTTCGAGGTGTTGATTCGTTACACATAGTAGTGTGTAGTGTTCTAATATACCTGGAATTTTTACACACATTTTCATTATCAGACGTATTTATCACTTGTTCTTTTAATTCAATTCTTCATTATTTGATAATTATAATAAAGGAAATGGTTGGGAATATAAAATGTTTTGCGTAAGAATCGGAAAAAATTTACTCATGACTAAATTAAAATCAAAGAATTTAATGGAATATTAGGCACAAGAAAAGAATTATAGGTTTATAATTTGTCCACTTATTCAAACCGGACAGTTAATTTTACAATCCATCAAAAAACAAAACGATCATATATCATACGTAATTAGTATTCCAATTCCTATACAAATGGAAGAAAATTAACCAAATAAATTATAACTTCGATCTCGTTAGAGATAAGACGCAAGTCCAAATTCATCGACTATTAAAAAATTAATACTAGACAAACAAAAAAAGAACTCAACTACATAACTCGGCCGTTTTTTCTTCAGCTCCTAAACGAAACCTGAAAACAACCTCGCGCTACGATCAATCAAACCGTGATTTGTCTGTCTTGACGAAACGGAACGAGACGGATGATCGAATACTTATTGTATAGCCGGTATACACCAGCGCAACCAACCATTTAAATATAAAATACACGAGAGCAACTCGTTTTAATTTCTTTGTTGTGCTTTTTAAAAGCCTTCCTTTAGTTTATACGCCACGACGTTGAATGGTGAATTAAATGTAATTTTTTTGTGTTTCCTCTTCCTCGACATTAAGCACGATACATATCGTCCTTTTGGTTTTGCCTTTGTTCATTTCAATTTCAGCCAAAACCAGATAACTTTTATTCAGTTAAAAATACATTACAA